CTGGTTCCTGTGGGCCCTCCAGCTCTGATTCCTGTGGGCCCTCCAGCTCTGGTTCCTGTGGGCCCTCCAGGTCTTGTTGGGCTTCCTGCTGGGTCCTCTGCTCCTGAGGATCCTAGGTCGGTTGCCGTCGCCTCTTCATCTCCTCTGTCACCTTTGGTCACCATCGCCAAGGCTCTGGCTCCCTCAACCTCCGCTGGTTCCTCATTGGCTCCTGCCTCCTCCCTCTGCTCCACTGCTCCTGCCTCCTCCCTCTGGCTCTGCTCAGCTCCTGGGGCCTCATTGGACATGGAGTGGGGGTCTCCAGGTCGTCCTCCTGACTTTGGCCTCTGCGGCAGGGAGGTTCATGGCCGGCCTCCTGAACTTTTGTTTTTGGGACGTCAGGAGCCATCCCTTATTGGGGGGGCTATGTTATGATTTGTGTCTGTGTTAATGTTTTATTTTAGTTTCTGTCTTGTCATCTGTTTTCTTCCTCTGTTTGCCTTTTGCTCCAGCCCCGCCCACTCTCACCTGCTCCTCATGTTTCTCTCCCAGGTGTTTCCTGTTTGTGCTCGTTAGTCTCACCTTTATATTCTGAGTCTTGTCTTCACTTCCCTATCTGATCATTTTGCTGTTCACAGCCTGTATGTTTCTTGCCTTGCCTTGCCTTGCCTTGCCTTGCCTAGCTACACCTAGTGAGTTTTTGAGCTGCCCTGTCAGCCATTTTTCTTTAATAAATCTTTATATTTTCCTTTTGGAAGCTGCCTGCAACCTGGGTTCATTTTTGCCAAATCATRGCAACTCCTGAAAGCTTTGTTACTTCCTGATGGGGACCGGAGATTGTAGCAACGAATAACTGTTTCAACCTGGAATTATCAACGTAGCATTCTGCTACCGCTAGCCCTCCATGTCCCACGTTGACAACRACTGGCATTACAAATGTAGCATGGTGCTCTGCCTACCTTTGCCCTGCTAAGGTCAGTAATGTTGGGGAAGCACTGGAATGTGTGGCTGTGTCCAAATTCTGGGGCTATGTCCTTCCAAGGACCTTGCCTACCCGGTCTATGTAGGCCAGGTTCGAAGACCGGAAGAAAGTGGAGCTTTATTCCCGCCCTTACCCCGGGGTATGGTGACGTTAAACAGAAGCAATGAAGATCAAAATTAGCAAAATATTAATATATTCATATTTTAAATTAACAAAACTAGCTTAGAGGCAATACTTGAAGAACTATTAGACCTGCTGTACCAGCTCGTTTGATTTCTGACAATAATTTAAAAAATGGTTTTAAAGGGGCAATATTATGTGTTTCTCAGGCATACATTTAAATACCATATCATAATAAAGTATATACTTTAT